GTTCACACGTGCTGCGTGAGCATGTGTAGAACACATGTCGAAGCGTTGATGTTCCGCTGTGTAAGCAAATTGAGCCAAAAGATGCGGCCAAATGTAGTAGCTTTAATTAGGATGATTTTTAGCAGGTGCCAGAAATATACTACAAAGTGTACTATGTCAGCGGTGATGTCACAGATCACCGGTGACACAGTGCTTTTCCAATGCCCCTCTGATCAGCTTTTCACAGATTGTTCAGCCAAGATTCACTCCACATACTGCACAGTATAAAATACCAAATAAGTAGGCTTATTACTAGTCGTAATGGCCGTGACTGGCCGTAGCATCTTGCGACGAACGTGGTTAGTTTGTTACGCGGCGTTTTGAAGCGTCGTGTCATTTGAGACAAATGGGCCCGAGTGCTCGGCACACGATAATACGTTGAATTCAGTGCAAAGCTGCGGACTGCTGTTGGCTGTGTTCATGTGAGAAGCTGACCAGCCAGAGCGTAACGTAACAAATCGTCAGCTTTTTAATGCAATAGCGTTAAGAAGCCCTGCCGACCTAGGATTGTTGTTTGTGGATGCTTGAGCTGTAGCTCCAGAGGTAACGGAGGACGTTGGAGCGACATATGGGGACAGGCATGAGATAAAACGCTTTTTATTTTCATTATATTGCATGCAAATCTGAATGAAGGTGGTGGATGTGTTCAAAGACGTCGTTTGCATCTGTTGATACCAATATTGCATGGGCTTTACTCTAAATTTTTCGGATCCTGTTAGGAAGTGTGAGTTTTGTACCGGTAATTATTATGCAAAGATAGTGTACGTCGCCTGTGCGCTCAGCTGATTGTAGGATAGCATTACAAAACCAAAGATGATATTGGTGTGAGGTGCTTGTAGAACCATGTTGTCGATAAATATAGGGCGACAGGGAATCAAATTTTGCAAAATGCGTTTGGTTGAGGGATAGAGGTGCGTGTGTGGGGGGGGGGGACAAGAAGGACTGAGTGAGCCTGCCTCCAAAATGCACTCAAATCATTTTTCCCACAGATTTGACGCACTTCCTTTTCACAGCTGGAAGTAGCGGTGTAGCTCCTCGAAATCAGTTCGTAGGACTAAACCTAAAAATTGTTATTAATGAAAATAATGCTTAAAGGTAAAATCAAAATAGGAAACTACGTCATGGTTAGGAGGCACAATCCCTTGCCCCATCTGAATAGGAAACTACACGCCTCCAAACTGGCTATGTCCTTGTCCTTATTTGATAATTTGATTAGTTAAGTGTTAACCGTCATTCGGTGCTTGATGGCGAGCAAATGATGTTGCTGTTGATGTTATATAAATGATGTTAAACATTATGAGTTATACTGCAACGGTTTCTGAGAGATTCGGCACAGGTGGCAATTTAGACGGTTCCAAATTCCGTTGGTGACAGAAAAGGCGCTTTTCTCACCCCTGCATACATGTGGGTGTGGGTGTGGGTATGGGTATGGGTATGGGCTTGGGTGTGGGTTTGGGTGGTGGGTTTGGGTGTGGGGTGTGGGTGGGTGTGGGGGGTGGGTGTGTGTGGGTGTGGGTTGTGTGGGGGTGTGTGGGTGTGGGTGTGTGGTGTGGTGGTGTGTTGTGTGTGTGTGGGTGTGTGGGTGTGGGTGTGTGTGTGTGTGTGGGTGGTGTGTGTCTGGGGTGTGGGTGTGGGTGGGGGTGGGGGGTGGGCGTGGGGGGGGGGGGGGGGGGGTGGGCGTGGGCGTGGGCGTGGGCGTGGGCGTGTGTGGTGTGGGGTGTGGGTGTGGTGGGTGTGTGTGGGTTGTGTGTGTGTGTGTGTGGGGGTGTGGTGTGTGTGTGGGTGGTGTGTGTGTGGGTGGTGGGTGGGTGGGGTGTGGTGTGGTGTGTGGGTGTGGGGTGTGGGTGGGTGTGCGTGTGGTGTGTGTGTGTGTGTGTGTGTGTGTGTGTGTGTGTGTGTGTGTGTGTGTGTGTGTGTGTGTGTGTGTGTGTGTGTGTGTGTGTGTATGCGTGTGTGTCTGTACACATGCCGCTGGGGTTCACGCTTGCTTTGGTGCGCCAATGAGGCGACGCCGCTGGTGTTTGGATAGCATCGCCGTTAGCCATATTACATTAAGACGTAAACCGATTATACAAGTTTGTTTTATTGAGCTTTTTAGCTTCAGCGCTTGCGTCAATTGGACATTGCATTTGGTATGTGGACGCCATGTACATCGTTGCTCAGCTCCGTGATGTGTTTTCGACGGCTTGGTCTTTGCACAGCGTATGGCTTTGACTTGTACAAAAGTTCGAGGTAGGACGCATTATCATTATTCATTATCATTATCTATATTCTTATGTTATAAATGGTACACGAACGAGGGGTAAGAAAATATACGAAATGCCGTTTCTCCGCCAAACGTCATTACATGCCCCGCTCTCGCACGTTGTAACCGTCGTGGGACCTGGACCAGTGTGAATCTATGCTGTGGATCGTTACAAACATTGCAGCTGTCACTATGTGCAAATTGTTACGGCGATGCGTGCAGCCGTCTGTGCTGCGCGTGCTTCAGGCTAAAGCAATGCGTGCAGCCGTCTGTGCAGTGCGTGCGTCAGGCTAAAGCAATGCGTGTAGCCGTCTGTGCTGTGCGTGCGTCAGGCTGAAGCAATGCATGCAGCCGTCTGTGCTGTGCGTGCGTCAGGCTAATGCAATGCGTACAGGTCCAGACAGACATTCGCACACTCGAAAAGAAATGACATGATGTAAGTAAAATAACTTTTCGCCCAAAGTTTGAATTCCGATAAAGGTTGTCAGAGCGACCGCAGACGATACGGGCTACCCCACAATTTCACTGATTTTCTATCTTAACGCTTGGTAGAAGCGAAGGCTCATGTTCTTCTGTGAATGGTGAAGGTGAGATGACTCACTAAAATGAAATCTTACTGAACACAGGTATGTCGTAGACGCATCCCAATAACGAGCTGATTTGGAAAGCATGCCCCCCCATTCTTAACTATTCGCCATTCAGAGTTACAAGGGTGTGATATAAGTTTTCGTGTGACATCGAATGACAAAGACCAGGCCTCTCTCTACGGTTTGGCGGTTTTTGGGTCAACGGTAGACGAACGTGACATACGCCAGTCGTCGTGGAAATTCGTCTGAGGGTTTCATGTTCTCATCCAAAAGGAGAGGTGAGATATCTCACCAAAACCACGTCTTGTCGAATGCGCCTGTATCACACACCAAGCAACTCTCCATGATGGCCTCATCAAAATCTATGTTCACTTTTGCATTAACCACTCTCCTTTTGAGTTACATCAATGCCACATAAGTTCTACTCCTAATGCGATCTCCCATAAAGCCAGCAGGTGCTAAATCTCTGGATTCGAGTGGTTCTTTAGATTTACTCTGATTGTAAATCTATCAGCAGCTGGACATGAGGCAGTCCAGCTGCCGTCAGGCACAGTCATGGTACCGTTCTGATGACATAACGTCGTGTATCGCCATGATAACGTAACGCATCTAGATTCGGGTGGTCACTTAGTTTTACTCTGATTGTAAATCTATCAGCAGCTGGACGTGAGACGGTCCAGCTGCCGTCAGGCATAGTCATGATAACGTAAAGTCAGCCGCCATGCAAGACAGCCTGTGGTTTTCATGTGGCCACCTCCAATACGCCGGTGAGATATGCCACCAAAGATGGATCTTACCAAATATGGTTGCATATGTTCATAGTTATTTTCAAAAATTGTCCAGGCCAACGGAGTTCCTTACATTGACCTGCTAGTGAAATCAGTAGTTTTGCAAATACAACAATAACAACGAGCTGCATTGCACAGTCTTAAAAGCAACGTTTAAGAAAACGCTCAACAAAAGCATTAGCATTAAGGCATTGTATCCAAAGGTTGTGTAAAGAGTTGTGCCGCAAGCCCTGCAGCTCCATTTGATGACCTTAGAAGCTATGAAATATTTGCCATTCTCTCAGAGTTGCACTAATGTAAAATCATATTTTACCTGACCCTCTTAACCGAAAAACCGGCTCACGGCAACCACAATCACAATTCCCACTGTGGTGACATGCTGTCGCCAGAACGAATCGGAAAGCTTCCTGCGATGCCTTAGTATTTTTTTTCTTTGCCGGTAGCTGGACGTGAAGCTCATCAGTTGTAATGCAGTTGATACTGGGAAATTTCTGTCCTCACGCATAAGATGAGCATGCGATATTTCGTCCCAAAAAAATATTTTTTAAAATATTTTTACAAATTAGATTAGAGTGGACGGGCCGGGCGCTTATTTGGTTAAACGCTCCGCAACACCGGAAGCGTAAAGCCCCTGGGATTGTAATAAACGATCCGTTTTTAAGCTGGGGGGAGTGATAGCCAGCAGTCATTTGAGCCGTCTGATGAGGTAGTACTTCCAGCTGTTTGAGCGCGCTCGTGCAGACAAGGCCTGAAGAGACCACTAGCCGCACGCGCTGTGCCGGGGGAGCAAACGGCGGCGCTGCCTTCATTCCTGCGCTGTGGTGAAAAGCGGCCCATTCACCGCTGCAGACTACGGAGGCTACATCCTTATTACAATTACTCCTTGTAAAGGCCGTGTACAGTACCTTTGCTACTCAAGTAAGACCTAGAAGCAGGTCAGGCAAGAGCTAGCAAGACCTAGAAGTTCTGCTTGATATTTTGACCGACATCCAATGTTTTCTGTACGAGTTGTGTGAATACGCGTTTCATGCCACACACAACTTTAGCACTCTGGCTTGTACGGGCAAATGTCCTCACAGCTGGTGGCCATTTCATTACTGCAACACTCCTTTTTAGCCTTGTTAGTGCTCTCGAGCACTTACGCGCCCTGTGAGTCGTTGCATCCATTGTCTTAATTGGAAACTTGGCAGCGCTACAAAAATTTATGTATTCTTGCCCAGCTTAGACAGTGTAGGGGCATCACTCTACATGGACACGCATAACCACACATCCAGTGTACACTCGTACGCCATGTGTTTTACTTCCCTCCTGACAACTGCGATGGAGTTGAGCTCGGGAGTACTGCCCATGTAGGAGTACGCGCAAATACTGTCCAAGCCGTGCGTGACGCAATAGATTCCGTTCAACACACGCAGTTTCGCAAACTCCACGAGGCAGCAGGCGTCTCCAAGCAATCCATGTTCGTGTCTTAGGGTAAGTACATCGGGCTAAAGCACCACGGGGCTTAGGGTCTAGCGAATTAGTCTTCCGCGATTGGCTAACGCTACCCGCTGGGGGACGAGGGAAGAACGGTAGCCTCCGAGCCCGACAATGGGTCCCACACCAGGGCCTAGGACGCCAACGGGGCCAACGGGGGAAACGGGACGCACTGCGCCACCGGCCCCCAGTGAGCCAGCGGCGCCAATTGCGCCGGGGGGGCCAACCGGGCCTCCAGGGCTGTCGGCGACCTTGAAGCCGCTCAGAGTGACGTAGTTGCGCCGACTGTTCTCTGACTCGTGAATGTCGCCGGTGATCACCTGTCGACAGGGAATGTGTGACCGGTGATCATTTGCCGACAGATCATATGCGGTCGATGATCACCTGCCGACTGGTCGCATGTGTCCGGGGGTCACCTACCGACAGGTCATATGTGGCCGATGATCATCTGCCGATAGGGAATGTGTGACCGGTGATCACCTGTCGATAGGGAATGTGTGACCGATGATCACCTGCTGACAGGGCATGTGTGACCGGTGATCACCTGCCGACAGGGCATGTGTGACCGGCGATCACCTGTCGACAGGTCACAGGTGGTCAACACCGCCGCACACTGGATGGAAGCACCATCCGATAGGTGTATTTTAAAGTCATCATTTACGGAAAAGACCAAATGCAATAACGGCTATTGGAAGGGACATTCAATTACAATAGAATTTTAGACGCGTTTATCCATGCTTTGGTCCCATAAACGTTCCGCGGCCGCCAATGACTGATGGACATGAACCACCAGAGCATTCCCTATTGTGTGGTGCCTTGAATTATCCGTGGCGTAGTGCTCGACACGCTGCTGTTCGGAGCTAGTCTGGGCGGCGAGGAAGGACATGTGGTTGCTCAGGGGTTTCCAAATTATTTATCTAGCTCAGGGAAATCTCGAAATACCTGGGATCCACATGTGCGCGCGGGCCCCGTTGGAGTAGCGACACTCAAAATTGGGTTTGGGTTATATGCGCAACGGCGACCAGGGCGTTTAAATTACACGCACACAGTGAGGTGCCTCGTGTTAAGCAAATTGATTTTTGCACCGATCTGCAATGAAATCTCCAGTTAACGTATTTGTTAAGGAAATCAATTTGCTATTCTTGCTGCATGCAGTGCTTTTACGTTAAACTCTCAGCACCTTACCTTCAAATATTACGTCATACAAAACAGGACATCTAAAACCTTCAGATCTGGAGTCCCAGATTTGCGTTCAACAATTAAAACTGGCAGATACTGTATCCCACGTCTTTATTTATCGTTCGCACGTGCAAAACTGTGATGCATTAATGGGTACTGTTGAATACACTTTGAGTACAATGAGTACACTTTTCAGGAAGTTGCAGCAGGTTGGTGCCAAAGCTTACCTGGTGTCCGCCTGGGGCGTTACAGGCGGCCGCCAGAAGGATGTGTTACTCTTACATCTTTGAGTTTCTGGAGTAACTTCCAAAACCATGCTAGGTAAGCCTTCACAATTCTCCGCACCGACCTGATGATTGACGTTATATATGGTAGAAGAGTTGCTGGGTTCAGTCACATAGTCATGGTATTGTAAGTGAGGTGTCTTGCATGGCCATGTATACTTTTTCAGGCAGCAATACGCAGCATCCTGTCTAATTTTCGTATTGTTTTAATATAATCAATCGACTGGTTCCGCTGTGCGTGTGAGATAGGGTCCGTCATACCGTGCAAATTTTAGCGAGATCAATAACAGCGCCCATGCCTGTAAGTGCTGAGCTTGTGGGCATCAGACTAACAATGTGTGTGTTACAAGAATTGGCATTTGTGTCAAACGGAAAATTAGAAGAAAGACGCAGAGGAAGTACGGAAAAAGGAAAATATAAATTAACCTAAAGTGAACTTGACGTGACTTGAACTAAACCTGCATTTACCTGAAACCTTTGTTTATATCATGGCACGATTCTGAGGCAAATGAACACGCTGATGTGATCGCTGCTAGTTGAGGAGCTATACAAGCATTGGCCCAGGGACTTTGAGCTTGAAATCTGTACCTTTTGAAGATATTTACTGGACCTGTGAGGCCATTGATCAGATGGCAGACGCAACACAACGTAGGACTGACCGGTGATTCACTTCTGTTTGGATTAACACGCGCCCGATAAAGAGATCTGGAGATGAAGAGGGTGCACGGCTGGAGCTGGATGTCACTTTGCACGGTTCCAGACGGCATTGTTTGTTTGGTTTTACATGGTTCCAGACAGCACTGTTTGTCTGGTTTGTACCGGAATTGGACCAGTCACAATCATTGTCTTTGTAGAATCACCAAAAACAGAAAAGTTGGTGCTTCTGAGAACATTCAGTTTTGGCCTCCCAATGACTTTGGTGGGGTCCGGATGACACTTTCAACCCACCGGGCGTGCGCATTCGGCGGGATGACCCCAGCGGTTCTAGGCATATCGTTCACTTCAGCCCTGGCAATGCAACGGTTAAGTTCTGTCACAATGCAACACAGAAATACAAGGCGAACTTCCGCCATACCGCGTGAGTACTCATGCTATGGTAGCGTACTGATAGTGGTGTTGACATTCGCCATAAGAGTCGTTTTGCTTACGTGCAGTGATAGTTTGTCACCCAGTCCCAGCAAGACGATGCCGGAGTTGCTGGCGGTGCTGTAGTCAGTGCCGCTGCCGTATCCTGCCAGCACCTCCTCCGAGTTTTTGCGCAGCACCAGACTGGAAGAACGAAAGGCGGATGTCGTAATGGCATGTCAAATAGCCAGCGCTGGTCATCGTGCGCATTTAGTAAAGACACATTCTTCACCTGTGCCTGTTCTCCGTTGAAGGGGTCATGAGTTGTTACGCTCGTGAACACGGCTGACGTTGATGCCGCCCCATTGTATTTTTGTCGAAGGCGTTTATCATACAATGCAGTCAGTCACGATCCCGCCATCACTTGCCTATGATCTACTTGTGCAATGTAAACCTGTGAATGATCGATGTTACTGTGACGCATAATTAGCTCCCGATACACCAGACCGGTTTGGTATTCCATATCACCACCACAAGATGGTAATGTGAAGTGGTAAACACAACAAACGTCATTATTGTCGCAGCAATTGCCGAGACCATTCTAGAGCAAGGTGGCACTATGTCAAATTCGACAGTTCATGATAAGTTATCCAACAAAAGCGTGGCGAACGAAAGTTGGCCCTAGAAGAATCGAAATGACTTGTCCGCAGCATTTTTCATGTAATGGTTCATAAAAGTCAAAGCCAAGTCCGGTAATGTGCCAAAACTTAAAACCACTCAGAGCATACCAGCAGATCTTCGCAGTGTGCCGCTAACATCGACGCACACGAAGGTTGCAAAGGCAAAGTCATGCGAAGTCAATGTGAGGGATGGCAATAGAATGATCTCAGGTGATGTCACGTTACCTTTGGTACGTGGTCTGATTTCAATCAACCAGACCCCACAGGCCCCACGTAATAAATGGGCCAGTATAACGTGGCTGATAGTTTTATACCACGTAACGCTCGATTTGTTTAACACGCGTCCGGGTTGCCGGTTGAATACCTTCCCCTCTGGCGGAGGCGGAGGCCAATTCGACCCCGTTGATATCTCAGAAACTGAGAGAGCTAGAGGCTCCAAATTTACATCGCGTGATGACCTGTATATGAACGCACTTTTGTCAAAATTTGAGGCTCTTAGGTTACGACCTTTGGGTAAGATAAGGTCAAGCAATGTAAAACTCATGATTGGTGTCGAAAACGCTCCCAGACCTTCTCATGCAACCGCCTTGAACCTAAACACCTGTTCTAAGAAAAAGCTTACTGGCGGTTATTTAAGAACAGTGACGTTATTTGACCTTTAGAAAGTAATGGTGACCAAAATCCTGCGAGATTGTTTTGATTTTTACAATGGAATTAACGGCAAGGCCCACGCTAGGCGGTATGTTTCCAAAACAACATATTCACCTGGGTCATTTTAGGCCAGAGACCTACTCTGAACTTTGTGATGTTCATGGAAGATGTTTGTTGCAGTTCCCGTATTCCTCGGCTTGGCATAGACACCTGACCCTAGGTCAATGTAATTTGAGTAGGCCTAAACTCGATCGCTTTTCGCCTAAGAAACTATTACAGAGACAAATGGCTTCGGCTAACACTCCGTTGTCGCACCCAAATAAACGATTCCGTAGATATTGTCTTTTCCGACAGCCACGGCCTGACTTCGATCTCTGTATCAGCATCGGCACCGTGAACATGTAGTTTTTGAGCCAAAAGATCCGCTATTCAATTAGCTACAGCTCTGCAGTTCAGCGCGGCTTCGTCGCGCCGTTCAGTCTTTTTTTTTGTAAAATCTGTCGGGGAGGTCAAACTGACCCCCACCCGAGCGTGTGTTAATATTTATGTTGTCACATTCCGTGAGGAATCAGACGGGATCCAAAGTGACGATAACGGAGTGCTACCGCCGGAGAAATTGCAGTTGTCAAAGTCGTAAACAATTTTAAAACGACGCAGGAAGATTGCATACTGACCAGGGTGCAGACCAGTCAGTGGCAAGAATGAAGGCAACTGTAAATGACAATCTTGAAAGGGGATGTTTCCTGGTACGCAGACGGCACACTGTACCTAAGGTTTCTGAATGAGTTTACAGCAGCTGGTGTATGCATGACAGGTCACTCACGTCGTAGGAACAGCGTGCGTGGAGAGTCCGTGAAAAGAGACGTAGTAGTAGCCCCTCTCTCTGCACTCGTAGTAGCCCTCCTGGAAACGCCATCCCTTCACATCGTCCGCCATGATGTTGGTGAAACGTAGGTTTCCTGAAATAAAAATATGACTAAGCGACCACTTATCCCTCACCCGCACCTGATAGACTACCGGCATAACGCATAAGCGCACGTATTTGTATATGATCGAGCCTGCATCAGCGGAGAAGCTGGTTTGTTTCGTTGCCATGTTCACCGTCCCTGCGCACAGTCCAGCATGCATCATTAACCTGCACGCCCAATGGCATTGGCATGACCCACGGAGAACACGGCGCCCTGGACATCGTTGACGGCGACGAAGACGGCGACGAGCGCGATCGCCGCTCGTTGGCACCTGACGGCAGACGTCACATCCCTCTGGCACCGGGGGCGGCAGACGTCACATCCCTCTGGCACCTGACGGCAGACGTCACATTCCTCTGGTATTTGGGGCGGCAGACGTCACATCCCTCTGGCACCTGACGGCAGACGTCACATTCCTTTGGTACCTGACGGCAGACGTCACATCCCTCTGGCACCGGGGGCGGCAGACGTCAAATCCCTCTGGCACCTGGGGCGGCAGGAGTCACATCCCTTTGGCACCTGGGACGGCAGACGTCACATCCCTCTGGCACCTGGGGCGGCAGACGTCACATCCCTCTGGCACCTGGGTGGCAGACGTCACGTCCCGTCACAGGTGACATCGATTGAGCGAAGTGACGTCCCAGGGTGGGGGGGGGGGTAGATTGTGGGGGGAGGGGGGTGTCTTACTAGCAAATGGTTTTAAGGTATATTGACCCGTTCATTTCCCATTTTGCGTAAACAAGTTATAAGTGTTTGATCAGAAGTGATCCATTCCATGCTGAGGATGCCCATTTCATTCCATATGTGGAATAGTGAATATTGTATGGATACCTGCAAAACTGTTAAACGCTGGTAAACACACAAATTTGTATCGTGGAGTGAACTGTATGTGCGCACATATGCGTGCAGAGCACACCCACTATATATATATATATATATATATATATATATATATATATATATATATATGTAGTGGATGTCACATATCCAACCAACCGTCCAACTGTATTGTCAGGGTCAAGTGACATCTGCCCATAAACAATACGAAAAAGCTTTACGGGAAATTATCTCTCGACACATTAAAGGCAATAATGACCACAAAATGAACATCGTCATTTATGATCGTAACAAGAAAATATCTAACTTTCTTATGAGAAACAGCCCAGACAAACCCGGCAAACTAAAACGTACCAATGGAGTGCATCAATTCAAGTGCAACATCGAAGGCTGCAAACTTCATTCCATACACTACATTGATGTGACCACAACGACACTCTCACGACGCCCGACAATGCATTTACATGACGGGGCACCTCTGGACCACATGCGACACGAACACGACATGGCATTGACACGACAACAGCTGACGAACAACACTGACATTTTACGGACGTGCGGTGGCGGAAGACGCCTTCAACTTTGGGAAACAATATTCATTAACGGGCTCTCTCTGGCCCTAAACAGACAAACAAACTCTTGCACAACTTTTGAGCTATTAGGTGGTGAGCGGTGAGTATTATTGATGCGATTGTGGCAATAGTGTTATCATTGTGTCTTTGTAGTGTTCCCATTATGAGTGTCTCTTATATGTGTCAAAGTGAAAATAGGACTCCGTCTCAATTCTATTAGTAATGTTTCATTTCTGTTCTCCGTACTAAAAGATGATTTCCAATAGCGGTGCGCCATTCTCATGCCTTCTCTGACGATAAGATAGGAGCTCGAAACATAAGAATGTAAGGAGCGATGAATATATAAGTAATTTTGTACGAACCATCTTTAATCTAAGCGATGATGCCACATTAAAAGCCCGAAAACTAGAACGATGCGTCAAAAAGCTCGCCAATGCTGATTCAGTAGATAATTCTAGTTAAACACACACACACACACACACACACACACACACACACACACACACACACACACACACACACACACACACACACACACACACACACACACACACACACACACACACACACACACACACACACACACACACACACACACACACACACACACACACACACACACACACACACACACCACACACACACACACACACACACACACACACACACACACGACACATATATATATATAATATAATATATATATACTATATATATATATATATAGTATATATATACATGTATATATATATATATAATTACACATATATCTATATACATATATATATATATATAGATATACATAGATTATCATGGATATATAGATATATTATATATAGATTATATAGATATATTTATATAATATATACATATATACATATATATGGTATGGGTGAGTGTACTCTGTCCATAACCTGGCATTTTTTAGCGATTTGATTTTCTTCTTTGGGTGACAGCTCAGAAGTACGATGTAACTTCTCCAGAGTATTAAAAACACGCCGAAATTATTTTGGTGTGAGGCATCGGCTTGAGGAGACACACGTTGCTGTCAAAGCAACCGGTACATGAGATGATAAAGTTCCATAGGCCTTTAAGAGAGCAATCTAAGGCCATTAGTACTGATCTGTTTGTGTAATGCTCTTTGCAGTTGCACTGAGGAGCTCACGTCGTCAGCACAATTGGAATAATCGGATCGTTTGTACGCGCCATGGTCGGATTCAACAGCAAATACGTGACGCGTATTCTTCCGGGTTAAATACTAGGTTGGACCTTCGGCGGGCGCCTCGCCAGAGAGATCGGACGCATCGATAAACATTGAGTAAATGTGACACACTGTAGGGGGTTTGTTTCAAAGGCGACCTGTCCCGTTGTCGGTCGTGTTATGCCTTTTGAGGAGCCCTTCAGTTGCAATAGCCTGGTTTAAACATGATATTGTGGCCAAGACGTACGTTTTGGTCCTGTGCAATGTTCATACCAAACAGTATGAACCTTAAATTCTTAATTACCATACAAAACTTAAGTTCGTTGCTCAATGTCATTGTGCTATTTTCTGTTATTCCTCATATTCTTTTGAATGAATTGCTCTTGAAATGTTTCTTGGTTGCATAAATCTTCCCTAATGTAGATTATTCCGATTTGCATGCGTTTTTGTTGGATCTATTACCGTAGTCACAACGTGGTTATGAAACTCAGAGCCATGACGCTCAGTGTTTTGTGAGTGCCTTGTGATTTGCACAACGCACTATGCCATTGCTTGACCGGCATCGGCAAAGGTACTGTAATTGATGGATAAAGACTGTCTCTGAAGCTGCCTTGGAAGTTCGCAGGCAAGTTTATGTTGTCAACCCCCACCCCCCTACTGGCCGCGAAGGTGTCGAAACCGCGGCGCTATTTGTCCCCAGCTGGGATGGCCTGCAGCTGCGCAGGTCCGCCGCAGGCGCGAGGAGAGGCGCGGCCGCGAAGGTCGGGCGGCGTCGGAGGGCTGCACTGGCAGTGCCTGGTATTGCGACACGTTCGGCTTTTGACGCTGAATTCGGACGGTTGTCCGGATTTAACTATCATATGACGGGTCAGGGCTCTTGTAATAAGCGCTGCTTAACGTGAACGCTGACACAAGGACCGATCCAATCAAAGAGCTTAAATTAAATCTTAAAAAACCGGCGAAACTTATTCTTCTTCTCTCGCAGAGTAACTAATAAGCCAACGGGTGTGTCTTCAAGGTGTTTTGTAAGGTGTGATGCCCATTCACGAGAAAACTACATGAAGCCATGATCCCCCATTCCTGCTTTTTCCCGCAACAGCGCATGGAAACTGTCAGCGGCTTTAAACCTGTTTTGCTTGGTGGTTGTCGGGTGTTGAGCCCTTGCTGAATTTCTGGCGTTCAGTCCCGGAAAGCCATACCGAATGCCACCGTAACCCTATCAACAACGATCTTTCGTCGGACCGTTACCAGCAAAGGCATGTATGGCGTGGATCAGACGTAGTGAATGGTTTCATTTGTGTATGTCATTGCTTCAAATGAAGTGTCCTCGTTATGAGCGCAGAGTCTTTATGCTGGGGTGTATACCTTCATTGTACCAAGAGGTATTGGTTAAACGATGTTACAGAGCAAGTATTGGCTAAATTCTCAACATTCGACGTTTCTAGCTGTGCTTATGGCCACGAGACTCGTGATCATAAGCACCGTTTGCAATGTCGAGCATATTCAATGTTTTTATGTAATTTTTTCAATGTTTCATATGAAGCGTCGTTCGAACAGTATCCCCTTGTATATGAAAGGTGGATTGCTCAGCATGATAACTCTCAACTCAGAATACCGACACACCTCCATTTGAAGGCGTTTTTTTAGTTATATTACGCACAGCGTCCCCGGTACTTCCCTCTCAGGTCAATGCAACACGTACAAAATAACTGATCTAGACGGCCGTTAAGGGATTATGTAGTAACGAGAGCTAGGAACGTCAGAAATCACAGAGAACATGTTTTTACTTAGAACCTTAAAAATACAAAGAAAAGATTACATTCCTCTTTTCAGCTTTCACGGGTAGCTTCTGTCTCACTCGCCGCAAACTCAAACGGTAGTGAGATCTCTTCTCACATTGGGATGTGTGCTTGCTGGATGAATTAGCATCTAAAAGAATCGCATGTAATCTTCTATTCGTTTTTCAAGGGGGTAAGCATTGCTGAATAAGAACTGTGAATTCTAATATCACCTAAGTACCGCGCAGTTCTCCACTGATTCTGTTGTGCTCCTGCCCGATGCATGTGTCAACCATAGCGAGAGCGTACTGCAGCACGTTTTCATAATGGTGAGAAAGTTATAAATTTAATGCAACAAGCAAGTAAACACACAAGACGGACTGACGAGAGAAGGGTCTACGCACACACGCAGGCACTGCGCATGCGTGACCAAGACTTACATGTTTCCGACGATGGGCGGGATGTGACCAGTTGTCCTGCCTGACACACTTTGGTCTGCTAGCTTGCGAGCTGGCCTTTATGTTATCTCTTGCTCACCTTGACCATCATTACATACGTCAGACTGAGCTGGAAACTGCGAGCAGGCCCGCAAAAATGGAGTTGGAAGATGAGATGTTTCATCATTGTGGAGCTTGTTAGCCAGAATGTGAGACTCATCACATCCTTAGTAAGTGCATTCTCTCAGAAGTCATTGTTTTTTATGACCAGAGGGAAAACCTCACATCTGCGGTGGAACATGACGTCCGTTACTAGGTCAAGCACTCTTCCGGCACCTACCTTGAGATGACAGCGCAGTTTAAGTATTGTATATCCGTTCCTTTCCAACCTGAGCCGATCTGGGTGTAGAAGGCTTTTCTTCTTCAGAGTCTTATGCACACAAGATTCAGCCAAAACTGCTGCCTCC